TTGCAGTAATTCTACATTAAAATCTGGCAGCTTTCTAGAAAGTGTTTTTGCAGACATCCATGTGTGGGTTCGAGTGCTCCATTGAAGAAATAAACAGCATGTCGAAAAAGAGGACTCACTAAGAGCGTTTCTTCGAACTTGGAGTGCATCTACCAGACAGTGGAGGATCTAACAGTCCGCATATAAACAAGTCAAACTCCCCGTATGGGTTCCGGGGACCCATTGTGGGAAAAACAAGAATAGAACCTCTGCCTCCCCAAAAGCATGTCGTAAGAGTCGACTAATTGGGAGCTCCTTTGAAGTCGGAGTACATCTGCCTGAAGGGCAAGGAATCAACAGTCTTTTTTCAAGTGAATCAGATCTGTAAAACTGTTGCACACGCAACACTCAAGTTCTGGAGCAGGACAGCAGTTCAGAAGTGGACGAACAACCAGAACTTTCCGCCAGAGTTTACAGTTGGTGAAGGCGAAGTAGAAGAAGAATAGGTCAAATATATGGATATTTACATGTAGAAATGAAGTTGTGGAATAAGGCGACTTAGATTATTTAAAAAAAGCAAATCAAGCTTTTGCCATGCAAAATGTTCGCTTTTGCCATGCAAGCATGTTCGCTTTTGCCATGCAAACAGAATTACATTCTAAAACAAGAATATTCGCCGTGTTGTGGTGGATAGGTGCTCGCCTGCGGCTCCAAAGATCGTTGGTTCTAATTCGAATGAAGCCGGACTTTCTTGTATGTGTGTGGATGTGTGGGGTGTGTGGGGTGTGTGTGTGAACAATGATCTTAGCTCCCAGGTAGAATCAGACCTGAACTGGGTGCCAGGTAACCTTATGGGAAGTAAAGGCGACTGGTGTGATGCTGACCACATCACCCCTGAGTGCCGATTGGTCTATAAAATATAGGTATTGGTCTAGCCCTATACGCCCATTATTCGCCTAGTCGTCCTATCCGTTCCTATTGCTTTTTGTTGCTGGAAGCTCACTCCATGTCCTCCCCATCGTTTTGACAGTTTACTCTCCATCTCTCTTCTCCATGTTTTGTTTGGCTTACCTTTATTTCTTTGCCTCTGTTGGTTCCAGGACAAAGATATTCTAGTTACAATGTTCTATGGTTTTTCTCAGTATACGTCCTATTCAACGTCGGTATAGCTTGACCCCCTACAGTCGACAATGACTGATGTTATAGATCCAAATGACAGATCGATGAATGGTTGAGCTCTGTCACATGTGAAGAATCACGTGCACCTCATGTCATGTGACAAACGGCACAGTGAAATTCTTCATTCTCACTTTCAGAAGTTCACTTTCGGTTAGGTTTCATTTCCCAAACACTAGCATGAACTGTCGGCTCATTTGATTCAGCAGACAGGAGTTCTCTCCGTGTGTTAACTCAGCCGTCTGTGCAACTTCGATGACTGTGTTTTTGAGTTCCTATGGATACCGCGGAAATTGCATTTTCATAGTAGTTTGCTGATTATTGCCAGAAGGTGCCAAGCAAGAGGCCTGGGTTCCATTCTATATTGTGAATGTGAATATTACCCATCGTTAAGATATTTCCAGAATAATATAGTTTAAAGCTCTGAGAAAAAAAACAGTCTAAGTGGATCCCAGAATCCACGTATGATCTACTCTCGATACGAGCTGAGTAGTTTCCGAATGTTGATCCACACCTGCGGGAGAACAAACCGAGGGCTGTGTGTTTGACAAGGAGACCAAGATCCGTGGCGAGTGAAGCTCTTGTGCCGAGAGTACAGTGAAACAAAATGACCCACGGTTCGCATGTGTCACATCTCAACCGTCTTCTGCCGGGGAGGACAATCATTTGCCTGGTGCATGCAGTGCTTCAAGTGGTTATCGCAAACATGCCGACTTGTGAGTAACTGTGAATGACACATTGTAACTTCTATGCCTGTCTGTCTATCTGTCTGTCCGTGAGTCGTCTGTCTGTCCGTGCGTCTGCCTGCTCGTCCTTCAGTCTGTCTGTTTGTCCGTCCTTCGTCTATCTGTCTGTCCGTGTGTCTGTCTGTCCGTGCGTATGTCTGTCCGTCCGTCTGTCTGTCTGTCCGTCTATCAGCCTGTATGTCTGTCTGTCAAGCTGTCTGTTTGTATATATGCCTGCTTGCCGGTCTGTCTGTATACTTGTCTGTCTGTCTGTCTCTCTGTCTGTACTTACGCATGTAGTCTGCCGGCCTGTCTGTCTGTCTGTATTTACGTCTGTCTGTCTGTCTGTCACATATACACTCCTCATCTCACTCTCTCTTACACACACACACACACGACTATATATGTACAAACACACACACACACACACACACACACACACACACACACACACACACAAAGCAGTTTCAGTCTCATACATACAATCATACTCCCTTCTCACTCATTTACATACACTTTTTCTCTTTACGTATCTCTTGATCTTTTCGTGTTTGTGTGTATGTATTTATGTATGTGTGTGTATGTGTGTGTGTGTGTGTGTATTTTTGTGTGGGGGGGGGGGGACGGAGGGGGGCGAGGAACTTCACCGCCGAGTTTGCTTCTGGTCATTTAACATTCAATTATGAAAACTACCCCAATTAAATTAGATGTTGACCGACAAAGCCGTTGTGGTCAGCAGAAAGAGCCCTTCCAGTGCTATGGGTTTGAACTCGAATTAATGACTATTATGCAAATGTTACTCCCGAAACTTTAAGGGTTCTCATACGGTTCTTTGTCGCTGCAAGTGTACGTAGAATAGTTTGTGAAAGCGGCTAGAGCAGTGGCTCCCAGCCTGTGGATCGCGACCTCTTATTTAGTGTCGAACTACCCTTTCACAGAGGTCGCCAAAGACCAACACAAAACAAATACTCATTGAAGTTATGAAGAAGCAACGGAAATAATTGTATGGTTGGGGTTGCTACAACTTGAGGAAATGTATTAAAGGCAGCATTAGGAAGGTTGAGCTCAAGAGCCACAGGGCTAGACTTTGTGGAGAGAGACCAAACCATATGGGATAAAACCCAGTGCAATGAAGCCCATTTGAAGTTTGAAGTTTGAACAACAGATCACATCATGGTACACGGGTACCCGTAAGTGCTCCGTTCCTTTTCTAACTCAAGTCTGAGTCCAAGAAAGATTGGCACAGTGCTCAACCTCTGTAGCACCGACGAGGATACTGGAATACTTTGGGTAGATTTTTAACTCTACATTAACGGGCAGCGCCGTTAGGCTTCTTTTTCGATTTCCGACTGCCAATGGATTTTTTACGAGCGCAAAAATGCACACGGGAGTCCCATTTCACTACCCAGAGACTAGGAGGAATTACTATAGAAGTCCAAGTCCACGTGAAAAAAATCCCAGCCCTTACCGGGGATTGAACCCGAAACCTCTAGCAATCGAGGCGGACACCATGCCTCGAGACCACGCAGCCTCCTAGAATTTAAATTTAACTTCAATGTTTATTTGCGGATTCTCTGTCCGTCTCTGTCGTCTATAAATAGAAAATGATCTCAACGCAGGGATTAAACGGTTACCAACGGATCTGACCGACGATCAACACTCAGGTGAGACGATTACATAATCACTGTTACTAGAATTGAAACTCTTCGCTTGCTGCTGAAAATGGGGACGGAGTGCTTATGCGAAAGCCTCGAGTGCTGTCAAGTCAATTCCTAATTAAACATCTCAGTATAAGTATTACAACCTTTTTTATTTAAAGAAACGTGACTTCGAGGTGAATGCGATCATTAATTTTTAATTTCCAGGAGAACAAGTGTTTCCCAGTGTGGACGGTTTGAAACTTTTCCGCTAGTTAGTTAGTTAGTTAGTTAGTTAGTTAGTTAGTTAGTTAGCTAGTTAGTTAGTTAGTTAGTTAGTTAGTTAGTTAGCTAGCTAGCTAGTTAGTTAGTTAGTTAGTTAGTTAGCTAGCTAGCTAGTTAGTTAGTTAGTTAGTTAGTTAGTTAGTTAGCTAGCTAGTTAGTTAGTTAGTTAGTTAGTTAGTTAGTTAGTTAGTTAGTTAGCTAGCTAGCTAGTTAGTTAGTTAGTTAGTTAGTTAGATAGTTAGTTAGTTAGTTAGTTAGTTAGTTAGTTAGTTAGTTAGTTAGTTAGTTAGTTAGTTGGGTTATCCTCATTGCACTCCGGACATGTCCATAGGTGCTCAGATCCTCCCCTCAGTATGAACCCCAACGTCCGATGGCTAATAGTACCAGTTCTATGTTGATTAACAAGTCTTCTAGCGTGTCTGGTGTGCGTCTCGTTTTTTTGCTGTGCCGATCCTAATTCCCAAGTCTGCCATTCTGGCGAGTGATGTGGATTCACTGCCACCAAAGTCCTCTATCCTTCCCATTTCTCGGAGGGCATTGATAATATCAGCATGATCCATAGGCTGACCGTCGGTAGTGATAGCGGATTTTCCGCTATTTTCCTAAAAGTGTGCAATAGTCGCGCCTTGAAAGAGATTCAGAGCCTCATTACGTGATATTCCCAAAGACAACATAGTGGTACACTGTAGACAGGAGCCTTTTCCAAACATTTTTTGGCTGTTGTGGTTTTTCTATGCAAATTTACGTCCATTAGTTTGCCATTGCTTCTGGACGGTCGGCTCCTCGATACCACTATCGAAACCAACGCAAAGCGCAGGGCCCCCAGCTGGAATCGAACCCGGCACCCCGGAATTACGAAGCACCGTTGCAACGCCTAAGCCACAGACGCCGACAATATAGGGTTAGACATCTATCTTATAGACCACTCGACGCACAATAGGTGATATGGTCAACATCTCACCGGCTGCTTTGACTTCCCAGGACTTTGCCTGGTACCCACTTAAGGCTGGTTCGACCTGGAGGTAAGGTCATTTAACAACAAGTATGGCTCCGTCAGGATCTGAACCCACGGCCTTAGGATCCACAGGTGAACGTCTAGCCGCTACACAACTGTGGCACACTGTAGTCAATCTTCATTATGAAGACGACACACAATTGTTTTAAAACATGTAACTGCCAACATACTATTTCCCCATAGACTACATGAGCGACTACTGTTCCAACACACTGGACCTGGCAGCGGCAAAAGTCCACGCTGGCCGGCTTCAATTTCGCCGACCGCAACAAACCATACAGACACTGGACTGCCACATGGCCATCAAGGCACCTGGCAACAAGATGCTCACTTTCAAGTTCCACCAGTTTGACCTGAAGTCGACCCATGGCTGCAACACCGACTACCTGCAGATTTTCGGCGACACCCAGCTGCGTCTGCCTCTGACAGGTTTGTAAGTCTGTTAGTCTGTCTGTGAGGCTGTAAGTATGTATGTTAGTCTATATGTAAGTCTGTCTGTAGGTCTCTCTGTAAGTCTTTATGTTAGTCCGTTTGCAAGTTTGTAAGTATGTCTGTGAGTCTCTTTGTAAGCCAGTAGGTCTCCTGTAAGTCTGTGTGTAAACCTGTCTATAAGTATGCCTGTTAGCATATCTGCAAGTCTCTCTGTAAGTTTTTATGTTAGTCTATCTGCAATTTTGTAAGTATGTCTGTAAGTCTCTTAGTAAGTAAGTAAGTCTTTTGTAAGTCTGTCTGTAACTCTGTAAGCCTGTCTGTTAGTATGTCAGTCTGGCTGCAAGTCTGTCTGTAAGTCTGGCAGTAAGTATTGCTGTATGTCTGTCTGAAGGTCTGTGGTAAGTCTAGCTTCAAGTCTGCAATTCTGGCTGTAAGTATTGCTATAAATCTGGCTGTAAGTCTATTCGTAAGTCTGCCTGTATGTTTGTAAGTCTTTATGTAAGTCTGGTTATGAGTATTTATGTATGTCTGAATGTAAGTGTGCCTGTAAGTCTGTCTGTAACTCTGATTGTAAGTTTGTTTGTAAATGTCTATAAGTCTGGCTGTAAGACTGTAAGTGCCTATAAGTCTGACTGTAAGTCTGTCTGTAAGTGCCAATAAGTCTAGCTGTAAATCTGTCTGTAAGTGCCTATAAGTCTAGCTGTAAATCTGTCTGTAAGTGCCTATAAGTCTAGCTGTAAATCTGTCTGTAAGTGCCTATAAGTCTAGCTGTAAATCTGTCTGTAAGTGCCTATAAGTCTAGCTGTAAGACTGTCTATAAGTGCCTATAAGTATGGCTGTAAATCTGTCTGTAAGCGCCTATAAGTCTAGCTGTAAGTCTGTCTGTAAGTGTCTATAAGTCTGGCTGTTAGTCTGTCTGCAAGTGCTTACAAGTTTGGCTGTATGTCTGTCTGTAAGTGTCTATAAGTCTGGCTGTTAGTCTGTCTGCAAGTGCTTATAAGTTTGGCTGAAAGTCTGTCTGTAAGTGCCTATAAGTCTGGCTGTAAGTATGTCTGTAAGTCTGTCTGGAACTGCCTATAAGTCTAGCTGTAAGACTGTCTGTAACTGCCTATAAGTCTGGCTGTTTGTCTGTAAGGGCCTATAAGTCTGGCTGTAAGTCTGTCTGTAAGTGTCTGTAAGTCTGGCTGTTAGTCTGTCTGTAAGTGCTTATAAGTCTGGCTGTAAGTCTGACTATCTGTAAATGTGCCTGTAAATCTGACTGTAAGTATTGCTGTAAGCCTGGCTGTTAGTCTGGCTGTCGGTCTATTTGTAACTCTGACTGTAAGTCTGGCCGTAAATCAGAGACATACACTACACAGAGAATATGCACGGCACAAGGTGGGCGGTAGGCAACTCAAATTCTGCATTCTCAAAAGGTCTCAAGATCCTGTAGCCTGCAGATACGTGGTCGTTCAAGACCCCGTGGTCCTGTGTCTTTCGAATCTCATAAACTAGGCTCATTATATGGGACATGGAACGGCCTGTATGATACTGAACATGTAAGGAATCTTTTCAGTTTGGTCACTGCAGTTTAGGTTGTCAAGGAAACCTGGTTTTTTACGGGATATCTGTGATAGAATAATTTTAGCTAGAACCCTTTTAGTGGATGTGGAAGTTAGGGTCAAGCTTCCACGGTAATACATTAATTGATATATAATATTGTGTGTGTGTGTGTGTATATATGCATGCCCGGCTCGCTAGCGTAGTTGGTTAAACCACGGCCAGCTCCAGTCTTATTAGAGAAGGCAGTGGCTAAACCTGACTTCGCGGAGACCGGGTGACTAACTCCATGAGGTCCGGGTTAACGCCCGTGGGTAGGCAGAAAAGCCACATTTCTTCCAGATAAAAGGTATTTATCATAGAATCAAGGTTGAAGGGTTGCGATACCGAGCCAAATTGTTAACAACTCATGGTTTCGGGATATATATATATATATATATATATATATATATATATATATATATATATATATATATATATAATATATTATATTATATTATATTATATATTTATATATAAGCGTTGTGGGGAGGAACAGTTTGCAATCCATTGCTTGATGGGCAGCAATGGCTACTATCATTTGTGTCGATGTAGAAGCTCTTTAATATCATCAATCCATGTTCTCCTAGGACGACCTCTTGCTTTCACTTCAGAACCTTTCACGTGTAGCGCCTGCATGGGTAGTTGTTCTGGCTGCATTCTTACTCAATGACCAAACCATTCGATCTTCTATTTCGCAATTTATTTGCTGCATGTTGTTCCTACAATCTGATAATATCATTTCTAACATTGTCTCGGATGGTTAAGTTGGCGGCTTGTCTAAGGCATCTCATTTCACAGGTGTTAATTTTTACATAGGTTAGTCTTTGAAAATGTCCAAGTGTCTGGCACTGGTAGCACAGTGTTGCTTTGAATATGCTGTTTATAATCTGTTTCTTGGTGCTCGTACTTATGTTTGGATGTCTTAATAACGGTGTCAGTTAGTATATAAGTACAATGGCTCGTTGGCATCTTGTTTCTATTTCCAGATTTATTTAAAATTTTTAACTTGTTTCAGATAGGTGCCATTCAACACACACACATACACACACACGCACGCACGCCCGCACGCACACACACACACACACACATACATATGGTGTAATGAAATTTTAAAACAACTTTATGCCACGCACGCCTCCCTTGGAGCATGTTGTTTTTACACATATTGTGTGTAACTGCATAGAACAACAATCTTCGTGTTCATATCCAGAACATAATATATTTACAAAATCTTTGTGTTTTTTTAAAGAACCAGTAATGTTTACACAATCTTCGTTTTTCTATGTATAACATAACACGTTTACAGAGTCTTCGTGTTTTTAGACGAACCATGTCATGATTACACAATCTTCGTACTTCTAAACAGAACATGTAATATTTACACAATCTTCCTGTTTCTGAACAGAGCAACTCTGTAACTCCAACAGACCAAACCGTGCTGTGGTCACGTCGGGAGAAGAAGCTTTGATTCGGTTCAGGAAGGATCTCTTCCAAGGGGACGAGATAGAGCTCGTCTTCACTACCTTTCGATTTGGTGAGTTCTGGAAGACGATGTGCCTTATGCCAGTGTAGACATGGTCCTCGTGAGTTCACTACGCAAATAATTTGTTCTGACTTTTCTTTGTTTGTTTGTTTGTTCTATGTTTTTGTTTGTTAAACAAGGAGAAAACAGACGACAGATTGCTCAATTTATTGCCTGATATTTTTCTTTGTAATTCGTTAAGTAAAAGTAAAGTAACCTCTTCCACGCCTTCAAGCGTATTGGGCATATAGGGCTAGACCGATATCTCAAAGACAGTCGACACGCATTTGCTGATGTGGTCAGCATCACACGGGCTGCTTTTACTTCCAAGGACTTCACCTGATAACCAATTAAGGTTGGATCGACCTGAGGGTTGATTTCCTTGAAAAAAAAAAAAAAAATAAAAGAGTAAAGCTTCCTTTCTGATTTGAACCCATTACCTTCGGATCCGAAGGCGACCTGCTAGCCCAGAAGTTCTCAACCTTCCTAATGCCGCGACCCCTTAATACAGTCCCTTCATGTTGTGGCGATCCTCAAACAAATTGTGTCCTTCATAACTTCAATGAATATGTGTTTTCCGATGATCCTATGCGACCCCTGTGGAAGGGTCGTTCGACTCAAAAAAGGATCACGACTTCCAGATTGAGAACAGCTGGTCTAGCCGCTAAGCCACGACGTCTACCAACCTGGTCAAGTACATACTAATTACAGCAGTAACAATTTAAATGGATGGAATTAAAGAATCCTAACAAAAAAAAAAAAAAAAAAAAAAAAAAAAACAACAACAACAACAGCAACAACACACACACACACACACACACACACACACACACACATGGAGCGCATTTGCAAACTAAAAAATCAGATTTGGGGAAAGAAAAAAAAATAAAATAAACAGTCAGGTGGCTTATAAAATAGAGATTTTCCGGACCTATCAAACATCTACCGCCGCATCTTCAGTCGTTGTTTTAAAATATTTTTATAATTACTACGTCTGCAGCTTTGCCGATTTTTTTATGTTCAGTTTTTAATTTTCAGAATGATTTAAGACAAGGGAAGGGATTAAATATTACAACAATAGATACTTAAGGAAGAAAATATGGGCTTTTGAACTGAAATTTTATACTGACCGACTGACTGACTCTCTACTCCACCAGGACATCACACAAACGATAAACACCCGATGACACAAAATGCCACCATGTGGATGAGGATCGCCGTGGAGAGGTGCCAGAAACCGCGTTCAGACATTTGGCCACATTTATGGCCTGCCTATATTGCGGCCCCCGGCTAAAGCCAGGGTGGAGCTTCAAATAAAAAATTTCATCCTGAAAAGGACGATAGAGAACAAAATTTATACACAAAGATTCACAGAATACCATGAACCAAGACGGAAGGAAATACTGACATCCTAAAAAATGTGAACATCAAGAAAGATTGGCTGGTAAATAGCATCTTGTCTCAGAAACTGAACTATTTTGCCATATCAAGCGCCAGGACGGATTGGAAAGAATAATAACAGAAGGCATGGTGCCAAGAAAAAAAAGAGGGGGTGGGATTGTCAGGGGCCGATTAGCACGGCCATGGGCACAAGATTCCTTGGGTAAGAAAGTACATGAGACGGAAGAGCTGGCGAGAGAACCAGTTTCTTTCAAACATCTGTAATGAGAGCGGCGTTCTCCAAAGGACCTGCTACATGATTGATGACGGTAAGAATGGAAAACGACAACGAGGTAGATGTAACTTATACTGTAAACGAACTGGTTGATTTGTGACGGTTTTTTAATCAAGTAATTTGTTGGCGATGATGTCAAAATTTCTTTCTTAACGGTTGATTTCCAGTCTTAGCGATTCCTAAGCCTATCAGGTATCAATGTTCAGCGTACCTTCTTGTAAACAATTTTACCATTTATACTTTGATTTTATTTTACTGTTTTTTTTTTCGAAAGCTTATTATTACTTTTGATTGTTGTAGTATTTTTACTGGTACTACTATTATATACTATCACTATTACTATTATTTTCGCTACTTCATTTAATCTTGTATATTGATTTCGCACCCTTTTTTTTCTCTCTCTTTCCATGTTTGTAGCTACTCACGGTTGGAGTTCTTTGCCCTTTGTTATTGCTGTGTAGTTCATGTCGAGATAGGCTCTGGTAAATGTCTTCTGCTGTGTGAAAGCCTCTCCCCTTCCCCCCCCCCCCCACACACACAGTCTACCCTTTTCGTTTAGCTTTAAAATCAAATTTGTGTATAGTGAACTTATCCTGTCCGAATACTTCCATTACCGACAAATTGGATGTCTGGTGGTGAATGTTGGCTTTGGCACCTCTAGCAACTGTCATATGCATTTACTGCGTAGGTATATTACCCGATTGTCCTGGGACTAATCGTTTGTTTACCAGTTTTGTTTTTTTAAATGGAACAGTGAGGGATATTTCACTTAGCTTTCACTGGCATATGAACCGAGCAAGCAGGGGATGACCAGTGAAGTGTTAGCCTCGACTTAGACTAAGTCACAGTTGATTTGATTGATTACTCATGCAGCGTGTTTACATCCTTCCTCTGCCCAGCGCCGTGCTCAAAGTCGGAGTACCACTGCGACAACGGGCACTGTATAGCGGAGGACCTCTACTGCAACGGCTACGACAACTGCGGCGATAGCTCCGACATCTGCATCCTGAAAGAGGGAACGATCGTCGGGATCGTTGTCACCGCGGCTGTCGTCATCTTCATCTGTGCCGTTGTCACCACCATCCTCCTGATTCGCAGACAGAGGAAGATACGTCGAGAAAGAGTATCTGGAAAATAGCAATATATGTACCTCTTAATGTAGTATCTTTTGTTGTATTTTCTTGTTCGTTGTTCACATCAGTGGTCTCGAAAAGGGGCGGTGGGGCACCCCCTCCCCTCTAGTGGGTGGGGGAGGGTGACGCAATCTCTTTCCCCCCGGAAGAGGGAAAAAAGGAGGGGGAGGGAGGAGTGTGATAAAGTGTGAAGGGGACGTCAAGCAATTTTAAAATTGAACATGCAATGATCCAGATTTTCAGTTTGATCAGTCATGAAAACAAAACTGCGTTAGCAGCCTGATGCGGAGAGTGATCAACCTTGTGCTTTATCCAAAAGTGGGCCAAAAATAACAGATATCATAACAAAACAAAACAAAAACACTGTCACCATCACTAGGACACTAAATTAACAGTTGTTGGTGATCGTTTCTTTTGTTATTTGACACTTTGAATTATGTGTTATTTATATTTTATGTTGTGGAAAAGGGCGGGGGGGGGGGGGTAGTGGGGGGGGGAAGGGGGGGGGGGGGGGGGTAGTGGGGGAGGGTGGCGCTCACCATATACTCAAGGGAGTGAGGGGGAGGGGCTTAAAAAGGGTGGAGACCACTGCTTTACACATTTCCTAGCTCTTGTTTTGTTGCATTTGTATTTATTGTTTACATGTTTTGCTGTGTAACTGACCCGGATGTTATTGTAAAATCAGTGGTATCAGAACGTATAGAGCCGGAATCCTCTTACGTTATATCTAAGCAGAAAAAAAAAAAAAAAACGTGCAAATACACACGACAAGGTCAGAATTTTAACAACCTGACTATTGCTGTTACTACTACCACCACCATCACCATTGCCGCCGACACCACACTACCACCACCACCACCACCGCCACCACCACCACCACACTACCACTACTACTACTACTACTACCACCACCCTACCACCACCACTACTACCACCACCACTACTACCAACACCACCACTACTACTGCTGCTGCTGCTACTACCACCACCACTAATACCATTACTACTACTGCTATTACTGCTGCTGCTACTACCACCCCACCAACATCATTACTACTACTACTACTACTACTACTACTACTACTACTACTACTACTACTACTACTACTACTACTACTACTACTACCCACTACTACTGCTGCTGCTACGACCACCACCACCAACACCATTACGACTACTACTACTATTACTGCTGCTGCTCTCGCCACCGCTATATGGTTTAAACATTATTTTTGTGTGGTGTGCAGAACGGTGCTATGATATCAATACTGATGCATTTTAATTCTTAGCGTCGCCGTGGTGTCCTTGACATAGAGGTTAGAGGTTACGACCATTAAACCTGACCACTCCAGTAACGAAGTGAACCTCCTTATCTGTCTATTGGGCTCAAATTAACCCAAGGGGCTTAACATCAAACACAGTTTTATCTTTGAGTGACGGCCCTTGTCCGCCACATGTCTTTATGGCTAATATTCATTTCTTGTATTTACATGCCTAAGAGTTTCAACTGACCAGACAGACATATGGGTTTTTCTTGAAAAGACCCCAGTTAAGTGACTCTATGTATTCATGCTTGTAATTGTTAAAGTTAGCTGCATATCTTTTACAGGTCGCCGTAGAAGCAACCCAAACATTTTTTGTTAGTTGTGTTTTTTCTAGGCACATCTGAGGTTCAGTAAATTGTAATAGCTTACCAAACGGTCAGCTTTTGATACCATTGTCAAAACCAACGCCAGACAGTCTGCTGCCAAATCGCCTGCATTCACTACTACTTGTAATTGTAACATTATATATTCATGTCTTGTGCTGATGCAGGCTTTATAGCCTTAAGGTTACCTTTAGTCGTTCATGATTATGATAATATTAAACTGACTCTTTCTGGTTCTTGTTAGGTTTGATACCTTTTCACAATGCTCGACAGACCGTCAGGAATAGCGCTGCATGTCTAATAAGGCAGCTTCGGCAGCATGCCTTATTCCAAGCGTTTTGGTGTTACCTTCCCTTTGGACTAAACAATGCAGGCTGATTGAGGGATCATGTTTGATGGAGAACACTTGTTCTCTGCCATAATGCACAGGCTTTGTGCTGCGGAGAGGAGGAACTGCATCTATGGCTTTTATTGGCTGTGATTTCGTTGCGTTCTTATAGCACAGTATAATACAGTGGTCTAGAAAGCTGGAATGCTAACTACTACTACCCCTTGCTGCTGCTACTGCTGCTGCCACAACAGTCACAACAACAGCATCATCAACGACTACTAGTACTATCACTACTGCTGCTACTACTACTGTTACTACTGCCTCTGCTGCTGCTGCTACTACTACCATTACTACTACTACTACTACTACTACTACTACTACTACTACTACTACTACTACTACTACTACTACTACTACTACTACTACTACTACTACTACTACTACTACTACTACTACTAGTCCTACTGCTGCTGGCTAATACTACTACTACTGTTGTTGCTGCTGCTACTACTATTACTACTACTACTACTACTACTACTACTGCTACTACTACTACTACTACTACTACTACTACTACTACTACTACTACTACTACTACTACTAGTCCTACTGCTGCTGCTAATACTACTACTACTACTGTTGTTGCTGCTGCTACTACTATTACTACTACTACTACTACTACTACTACTACTACTACTACTACTACTACTACTACTACTACTACTACTACTACTACTACTACTACTACTACTACTACTACTACTACTACTACTACTACTACATATATACAATTAACCAATCAATTAATCATTCAAGTGCCTCTCAACAAAGAAGGTTGGCTTCAAGGGATCTCCAAAACGCTCTGTCTCTTGATTAGGTAGTACACTCTCACAGACTGTTCTTTGTCTATCTCGTGATGACATCATCCGTCTTGTATCGCTGTCTACCTCTCGCACTCCTGACCTCGACCCCCCCCCCCTTCCCCAGTATGATTTTAAAAAGCGTATTATGTCTTTTCATGTGGACAAAATATTTCAATTGTCTCTTTGTTCTTTTAATCTTAATTCCTCTTTTCATTCGCAGTCTTTCTAGAACTTTTGTTTGTGTTTGTTTCCATGCAGTATGACCTGTTCTTATGCATATCGGATTGGCTGGATTGGCTTTTTACCCCACCAGGACATCACTCAAGCGATAAACACCCGATGACACAAAGTGCCACCATGCGGATGAGGATCACCGTGGAGAGATCCCAGAAACCGCGTTCAGACATTTGGCCATTATGATGACCTGCCTATATTGCGGCCCCTGGCAAAAGCCAGAGTGGGGCTTCAAATAACAAAAAATAACATCCTAAGAAGGACGTAATTAATAACATAGCAACAAGCAATTATGCATATCCACATTCCCAGAGACTTAATTCAATTTTCTAGTAGCCTGTTTATGGTTTACGTTTGTGCACCATACAGCAGGGTTGATTTACAAAATATATAACGATATTACCATTACTACTAATTTCAGTACGGATATTAAAACAACTTCTATTATTATTATTATTATTATTATTATTATTATTATTATTATTATTATTATTATTATTATTATGACTTGTATCATCATCATCATCATTGTTATTACCTCCATCATCATCTTTATCGTATATAACCACTTGCAGTCAGTTAGCCCATAATTCTGACAGAGACTTCTGCAAGGCAAATGTAAAAAAAAAAAAAAATTAAACTAAATATTTACTGTAATTGCAACAAAGAGCCCTGGGGCTAGTTAATAAAATAGGGCAATGATAATAAAATAAACTCATATAGATTAGCATCATAGATAGCAGTAGAAAGACAGACACACTGAGGGGGGAAAACTGCAGTTTTTATAGCAGTAAAAATGTTATGAACAACAAGAGAAATTCCCAATTGTAGCATTATGACATTGAATATTTAGCGAAATGGTCAAATTTATATGATTATGTATTATAAATATTAATAACTACTAAAACACATGCTAGTAAACTAAAACAGTCATTAACGTGTACCTGCTTATTGTAGGCATACAATTGTTTAAGGTTTGAAGTTTGAACAACGGATCCAGATCAAGGCACACGAGAAGTAACCCATAAATGCTCCATTCTTCTTCTAACTCAAGTCTGAGTCCGAAGAAGCTCAGCGCAGTGCCCAGGCTCTGTAGCACCGGGGAGGATCCTGAAATACTTTGGGTAGATTTTAAATTCCAAATTGTTGCCCTGGTAGCGCCGTTAGGCTACTTTTTTCGATTTCCAACTGCCAAGGGATTTTTAAAGTGCGCAATAATGTATACGGGCGTTCGATCCTACTACATGGAGATCAGGGGGAATTACTAGTCTAGGTTCACATGAAAAAATTGCAGCCCTTACCGGGGATTAAACCCGGAACATCTAGCAAGACACCATGCCTCGAGACCACGTAGCTCCCAATACAATTGTATGATAGTAAAAAAAATAAAAAATAAAAATTAGCAGCTTAGGGAACTAGCTTAACATATTCTAGTCAACTAATAGGCGAAAAAAAGACACAGGCGCTAAACTGGATACATAGAGACAAATCACTACCAAAAGTTTCACTAGAATGTCATTTCACTTAAATCAACGGCGCAAAAGAGATAAAGGGTATCATAAAAGCTCACAAGGAAGTGGCATGTGGGCAGATGAAGAATATGGGATGGGAACTGGGAAAAGAGAGGGGAGATGCAGGAAATGGCAAAACAAACTAGATAACTTGGCACCTGCAGGTGGCTTAATGATTTTACAACAGTTGAGAAAACAAAAGGCACTGCAAGAAGAAGAATCGGCAAATGTAAAACAGCTACCGTCCATACTGAATACTATGACTCAACCGATGTACAAATGAGAGGTATTCCTCACACACACACACACACACGCGCGCACGCACGCTCACACACACGCGCGCGCACGCACGCACACACACACACGCACACACACACACGCGCGCACGCACG